GAATAGGGAAATCAATTTCGCGAATAAAGACATTAATTTCATGATTAAGGAATGCAACTTCACGAGCAAGGACACTAACTTCGGGTTAGAGCTCAGCTGAATTGATAGCCTAATCCGCCGAAAAGATTTCTGAAAGGTATAGTCCTATTGCTCCAACGACAAGTCCCTCAAAAAAAACGAATCAGTAACCCCATCCATAGTTCACCTCCCACATAAGCCTCACTAGCCTTCCCCTCGAACACTCTATCCAGCTGTTCCAGGAAAGCCCGTATCAACTTAGCCGGCGGCATAGACCCGCATCGCTCCGCCCAAGATGCCATCGTGAATCCTAGCAAAAGCTCTGTGTGTAAAACTCAGACCACGTACAGTGTTGGAATATTCGTTTGTTTTCCTTAGCTGATCTCAGGAGTTTTCTCACTATTTATATACAAATTAATGAAAATTTTCCAAATTTTTTCCCAGAATTTTCACATTGTCACCAACACATGTAGTTGACCATGTTCATATTCCCACATATTTGCGTACAAGTGTACAGAAGCCAATAAGATTTTCCTCCCAGAATTCTCACCAACACGTAGTTGATGACCATGTGCATATCCCCCCTCACCACAAAGGACGTTATTGCTGCTAACGCAGTGATCAGTCCATGCCTCCGGTATAAGATTAGGAAGTGCGAAAATAATTCCGTGCATATCAGGCGGCCAAAACCTCGTACTGAATTTCACATACACTTTTAGGGATGTTGAGCACGTCATCTGATGAGAATAAACAATATACACTTGAACAACGTTTATTGCCAATTGTGAACGTTTATTGCCAATCATGAACGTTTATTGCCAATCGTGAACGTTTATTGCCAATCGTGAACGATTATTGCCAATTGTGAACGTTTATTGCCAATTGTGAACGTTTATTGCCAATTGTGAACGTTTATTGCCAATTGTGAACGTTTATTGCCAATCGTGAACGTTTATTGCCAATCGTGAACGTTTATTATCAATCACGTATATCATACAAATGCCAATCTTGCTACCCATAGTGTCACCCTTATACCGTAATAATTCCACAACGTGTCACACTCGAAATGTCTATTCTCATTTTTGAATATTTATTGTTAATTTTCGAGACCGTCTCTTCTTCACTCAAATTTCACCGGTAAAATATATAAATCAATTACCATACCACAACAATAGCAATCTTACATCCTGTATGGCGTTCCTCTTCCACTCGGGTAAGGGTGGGCTCAAGCGTATGCTCTCAGCCGGTCCGTAGCTGCCCTGAAGCACTGGTACAGGTACCTACAAAAAGGTGCTCGCTTCCTCCTAAAAGTGTACAGAAGTCAATAAAAATTCCCCCCAGAATTTTCATATTGTCACCAACACATGTAGTTGACCATGTTCATATTTCCCACAAATTCACTAGAAGTGTACAGAAACCAATGAGAATTTCCTCCCAGAATTTTCATATTGTCACCAACACATGTAGTTGACCATGTTCATATTTCCCACAAATTCACTAGAAGTGTACAGAAACCAATAAGAATTTCCTCCCAGAATTTTCATATTGTCACCAACACATGTGCATATCCCCGCGCCACTTACACAAATAACAACATGTCGTGTTCTGACCATCCGACCGTTGGAGCACCGAACTAATGCCATACCGTCGCTGCCCATTTCGATGCTAGCAACTCTGTGAAGGACCCTTACCTGACTTAGTGCATGCGTAAGACCATACGCCACGCCCAGCATATGTACTATCTACTTTTAGTCATCCTTTTTTATTTAATTTTGAATAATTTTTTCATTTTGTTTCTTCGAGTTTTACACTGTAATTGTACTTTTGCGGTGACAGGTTACTCACTCAAACGCAGAAAAAAAGGCATCACATATTCCCAGGCCTACAGTTTACAACACCACGAGATACCCCTGCTACAGTGCTTGCGAATTTTATATGCAAATGTGAAAAATGTGCGCTACTTTTCGGTGTTTATGGACTTTCACGACTACCCGTTTTACGTGAAGTGGTGTAATACTCGGTGAAAAACGCGATATTCGCGGTGATATGCAATAGTCGTGAAATATATTTTTCACCAGTTTTCACTTCACTAGGGTGGTGAAACTTCAATAAGAATCGATCTGAAACTATATCGCATAAAGAATATAAACATTGCTATGAACATGTGATGTGATAAGAGTAACTTTTCGAGACTATGATAACGACCACTTGTTCACTATCATTAATCCCGGAGTAGTAAACACACATTTGCATATCAAATTTGCGATAAGCTCTGTACATGAACTCGACCAACTCCACGTACAGTGTTGGAATATTCGTTTGTTTTTCTCAGCTGATCTCAGGAGTTTCCAAAGCTAATTATATACAAATTCGGGTAGAAGTGCTCACAAACCAACGAAAATCTTCCAAAATTTCCTCCCGGAATTTTCATATTGTCACCAACACATGTAGTTGACCATGTTCATATTTCCCACGAACAGAAACCAATAAGAATTTCCTCTCAGAATCTTCACCAACACATGTAGTTGACCATGTGCATATTTCTCTCCAAACACAACCAGCTACGTACCTCCCCAGCGTCCTTCTCGAGCTCTCCAACAACAGCATCACCAAATCCTTGCTCTATTTGGAAGTCGTGTTCGCCATCATCGCGCTCATAAAAATGCTCCTAAAAGTCCAAAAATGCGCCTCCCAGGGATCGAACCCGAGACCTACCGCTTCACAGTTCGCCCGCCAACTGAGTACTCTAAATGCCCCGCCGGCAGTGTTGCCGTAACCAGCCTGGACCAGTCTTTCAGACCGATCTGAGACTCCTCTCGATCTCAAAATCGTCTCCATATCCTCCTTGCCAGCCACTGGGTATTCCTTTGCCATGCCGGACAGAATCTCGTGGGTTTCCCGAAAGTCCGGGGGTAACTACAGTAGTCGCGAAAAACGAGAGTGAAATTTATATGCAAGTAGCACTGTGTAAATTCTTCAAATTTTTTTGGTATGAAAAAAAATCGGCGCTCTCAACCAATACGACTCACACGCTAATTCGCTCTGGGAGATAGGCTCCCCGCGGAAGGGCGTATAGGCTCCTTAGTGACCACCTTATTACCCCCGAAATCTAACTACGGCAGTTATGAACTATGATATCCAATAATGAGCAAAATTCTTACAACTAGTGTTGGAAAATATGATCGCTTTCTTCAACTGAGCTCAGAAATTTCACGATTGTACAAGTTCATATGTGAATCTCCCTCCGGAGGTGTAGACAAACCAGAAAAAATCAATTATCAATTTTATCACCAACACATGTGGTCCACCATGTGCATATTTTCCAACACCACCCCACTACCTCATCGAAACGATACAGATTTCCATCTACGTAGTAGTAACCAGCGCCGCCGTTGACCATCTCGTCATTAGGACCACCATCACCCTGTGCCCACGTGAACAGCTGAAAAAGACTACTATCAAAGGCGACTGGACATACGAACTAACCTTATGCAAATTCCATCCCTTTCCCTTAGCCATTTTGTAAACACTCGTACCGTCGCCGTGAATGAACTCAGCACCTTTAAAAAATCGTAAAACACTGTAAGAGGCGCATGTTCTTCCCCGTGCGAATTGGAAAAAAATCAGCACTTCTCGCAGGCGAGTAAGAGTTATGCAAAGTAGTAGTATTTTCAACTTAGCCTTCAGTTTTCGGGAGTTTGTCGAAAGTCAACTTTGAGTAATATCAACATGATAACAATGTGAATCGATTGATGACACCACCGTTTTAGAAGCATTACGATATACATAACTGTTTGGTTCACACTGTAGATATAATAACTACTTATACCATCCCTCCTCAACTACTCACCAACATCGAAGTGGGCAGCATCGCCTCGGCCGATACTCCCTTCGGTGTACATCCACCAACCATGGGAATTCGGGGCTTTCATGTCGCTCTCATGCAAGGTTCTAAGACAAGTACAAGTCCACTGAGGAAAGACCAAGTCGACAGTTCGAATACCACTCCTGTTTCAACGGAGTAGCTCCACAAGGGGGAGGGCCTCAACAGATGATGATAAGCTGATTACTGTCCGATACCACAACGGCTGAGGAACTATCTTGCGATGCTTACACAGAGCGATTGAGGGTAGCAGGACCGAGGCTATTACACTAGTAGATTACTACAGAGGTAGTAGGATACCTATGTTCTGCATATTCAAAGGGCGATACTACTACTGCTACTACTACTACTGCTACTACTACTACTACTACTACTACTACTACTACTACTACTACTACTACTACTACTACTACTACTACTGCTGCTGCTGCTACTACTACTACTACTACTACTACTACTACTACTACTACTACTACTACTACTACTACTACTACTACTACTACTACCTGCATCGACCGCCAATATGGAAGCTAGCCTCGAGGACTATCGTCGATAAGCCAGCGGCTCTGAGGTGTTTGGCGCAGTTCAGACCAGCGATGCCGGCTCCTACGATAACTGCATCATATTCTTGCCGATCTTCGGGCATGATTGAAACTCAAAACCTAACTAACCACCATGAATGAGGTTCCCTCCCCTCTACGAACCGCAATCACCAAATGCTTCAAGGAGAACAGCACCACATGCGGGATTCGAACCCGGTACCACAGGTTTCCCATGCGGCGCTCTACTGACTAACTTACTAGGAATGACGAATATCAAGGAAGGAGTCACTACCGACTAGTATCACCACTCGACGTGAACAGGACTACGACAATAAGGTGGTGTGCTCAACTTAAGCATTTCGAGCTATAACATCAAAAATATCGGGCAAGGCAAAATTACGCAAGGAGAAGCGATAGAACGATGCCTTTCCCAAATAGACAATATGGAAATATCACCTTCACCGCCACGCTCGAAGTAGATCCATTTCGCTCGAGGTCAGACAGGCCATCATGATCTTCAAGCAGGCAAGGAGGCACATCTTGAGGAGGCCTAGCCGGCCGACCTGAGAGCCTGGTAAGCTTTGAGAAAGTGCGATTGGATAGGATGTCTGCCTCTAATTCGTGCGATCAAAGTTCGTCTCCTAACACTACAGTTTTCAAGCTATACCGAACTGCCAATGGAAGTTCCCCATGCACATCCCATCACTCTCAGGCCAATGAGAATGATTCGCCTATAATATCGTCTGATAAACGATACTGATCTATGTAGAGTGTGAATCTGAAACAAGGTGCATTTCGTTCTGATATTCATATCAACAGCGCTCGTAGTGTAACGGTATCATACAAGCTTCCCATGCTTGTGTCCCGGGTTCGACTCCCGGCGGGCGCAGTTAAATTATAACTGTATTTTTAGCTCGGCTCAAGATCTGTTGGTGCCCATAAGGAGCCCTCGAGTGAGCGCGCGACGGGAGCTCTCCTCAAAAGTGATCCCAAGAACGCCGTTGGGCGGGCGAAAAGTACTTACTGAGCATACCGAAGAGTCCTCCCCACCGGAACATCCTTGGAGTGCTCCTCATGTTCACCCAGTGAGCACGTCATTGCATACCTCTCTCCTGAAAACGCCCCTGAGTCCGACAAAAGCTCTATCGGACACCTTGATGATTTCCAACGTAAAAGAATTTCTGGGCGCGCGCTAAAATCTGCGCGTAACGTCCACTCCGATCCCAGCTTTGAGCCAGATCGCTGTCTGAGGAAACGGTAAGAGTTAGAGGTACAACTAGCAGTTGTTGACTTCCATAGTAGTTGGATATCCGACCATACTCGGCGCATAGCCCGCGTTATGTAAACATTCTCTACGACCAGTGAGCCTTCTAGACCTGAGTCCCTGCGCGCGACCGGCAACATGTGGAAGTTTCGCTTAGTTTCGTTATTTTTTATGTTTACTTCGCCTTATCAGGACTCGTGCTCGGCCACACAGCTGAAGACTGGCAGCATCCCCTACCGCTCACTGGGGACTCTGGATCCAAAACCCCTGTAGTGATAGGGCAATTCCCGTTCCCTCTCTCCCGTTCCCGTTCACTCGACTATCGCGAAGAACATGTCCTTGAGCTCGCATGGATAGACTGCTCCTCATGGCGCATTGGAAGGGCTGCCACCAACGATGTCGAAGTTTCGGATCTCAAGGCTTCCATAGTCCATGTACACAACGTAGAAGAACACCCCATCATAATGCCTATGTCTAATGCAGGGTATAACGAGTACTCAGTGATGGCCTTAGCTGGAAGGCGATCGTGAGGCATCTGTCTGCTGAGGTTAGTTGTTGTTTGAATTTATGATAATTGCATGCGTAGTAGTATATGTATATACGAATATAGTGTGGAGTTTCACGACCAGTTTCCCGTGAAGTGGCGTAATACTCTGTGAAAAAGACGATATTCGCGGTGATATGCAGTAGTCGTGAAATATGTTTTTTACTAGTGTTCTTTCACCTCACAGATGAATTCCCAGTACCATTATTATTGTGTATCATGATTTATCACAGCTACCAGCAATCACTGTGGAAGGCAGGATCCCACCCTGCCAGCCGTCAAACGGAGACGTGTGTGAAGCGCAAGCGGAAGATGGTAGTAGTACGTGATGAGAAGTGGAGAAGGAGGAGTGGTATAATACATTGGTGGTCTCGAATAGTGACAGTCTGGGTGATGCTCATCACGTGTCACTACAACCGAACACGACTCACTGAAAATGCTCTAAAATCATCTCACCAAAAGGAAGCATACTTTTGAGTTCTTGTCATCTGTAATCGTCCTACAGTTATCTCACAGTACCTGCGTATGGAGCCGCCATCAGCCGCAGTAATATGCTATTCGACATCTGTTGAAGTCCGCGGCTACGAAAACCAATGGTAGTCGAGTTGCCCTCACGTTTGGTGGACGAGAGCGTGAACCGCATTCAGAACGGTCTTTCTCGTATGATATATAGTGTTTCACATTTCACTGATGATACACAGTATTTCACCATTTATTGTGTATATTCCATAGGTACATGGCTCAGCTTGCAGGTATTGATATAGGAGCTTGTGAGGTGAGAGGGTGCTCGGGCTCGTAGTAGTAGTAGTAGTAGTAGTAGTAGTAGTAGTAGTAGTAGTAGTAGATGTACGGATGAGTTTGCTTTCCTCAGCTGAGTTCAGGAGTTACCAAAGCTACAATATGCACATGAATCTGGATAGAAGTCTACGAAAAGTTACATTAGTTACCCCGAATGTCCTCAGAATTCTGCTGTTGTCATCAACACGTGTACATCATTCTTCCACATAGGTGCGGATAGCATTCCACAAGAGCATTTGGCAGCCCAGGATAGTCCCCATTGATGCGGTAACTCCTCGAGGAGTTTCTGTGAGTATTCTGGACCAGGTCAGGTTTGTCCCTAAGAAAATCGGCTCCCGACCAAGCCCTGGTGATAAGGTTGAAGTAGTGGAGGAATCTTCCTCAGTGGTGTTGAGTTCGTGTGTTGTGTAGGTGTTCTCACCTGAAAATGACTCGACACCAGCGTCCTGGAGTCTGGGAGTTGTCAGCAGTGTAAAGGATGGGTTGTACTACGTGGAACAAATACCTGGTGAAGATGGAGGAGAAGGGGACGGGGGCGCATCACGAGCCGAGCGGGAAGAGAAAGTTGTCGGATTTGATTGTTTGCGTGCACATGTTCAGCCTCAGGATGACCCTGAGCACAGGCAAGATAATTTAGGAAAATGTAATACCACCGGGATCGAACCTGGGTCGGTAGATGGTTGAAAGTTGGTCGTAGGCTCGCCCTCTTTGACTAATTTGAAGCATGAAACTTTTGAAATCCCGCGGCCGTTGGGTGAGTGGATGGTATCAGATGACGGCCGAGCGTGTATGAGGTACATCGCCGTTCGAGTGAAATTGTCATCGGTACGCCCATCAACCTGCATGCACTCTTCACAAGCCTCTCCCAGATATCAGTCCAGACCTCCAACTGCGATCGGCCCATAGTTCATTTAATTGGCTTGCCCCGTCCCACTGCTCGAGCCTGTATGCTTTTGACTATTCACGTAACTCATCAAATGTCCATCCAGTCCTTCCATAATCGCCGTCTATGTCTGGCAGCGAAACGCGAACGAATACCTCAAGTAACTTGTCTGAGAGCATTCATTTTGATGGTGTTGTTGTTACTCTCAGATAGGAGAGCAGCAGCAGGATGATGATGGTGATTTTATTGATAGTTCACAGAGGAATGGTTGGAGGAAGGAGACGTCATTGAAGCGGCCCCCCTCAATTTCTTCCAGTGTGAAGACAACAGCAATCGAGGCTGAAGGAAAACCGCGGAAATTCGTGGGTAAATTCATGACAACGCGAAGATTGCTGGGGCTCACGATAGGAAGAGGAGGCGCTAATGTGAGGAATGTTGAAAAGGAATTTGATGTTAAAGTGAGGGGTGCCGGGATCGAACCTGCGACCTCCCATGACGCTTAGACAGGTCCGAGTACGGGGAGTGTCTGACGAAACACCAGCATCGTCTCTGGTGATCATCGAGGGACCGTCGGAGCCAGCAGTGGCATTAGCTCGTAAACGACTTGAGTTTTTCATAACGAAGTGAGTGTTACCATGGAGGGTAAGCGAACATGTCCTAAGGTATCCGATGAACCCCAAGACCGTACGTTCGGTGGTGGGGCCGCGGTTTAGCAACCTGTTGACTTTGGCTGAAGACACGGCACTGCACTATGCTCGTTGTTCCGATACTAATGATGTCGGGGAGTGTACACCGTGTATCGAGATGTGTGGGAGAGCCGAGGAGATTGATGAGGCGACGAAGCTTATCGAAAGTCGTCTGCTCAAGAAGGAGGGGCGCGAGGGGGAGTCTAAACAGACTCACATCATGGACATGCAACGACGTAGGAAATATGAGAGTTTCTCCCACACTTTTTTCTTTGAACAGATGATAATAGAAGTAAAGGCCTCAGTGGGAGTATCGGTTGTAAGGAAGCCACCTCGGCCGAGGCCTTGGCAGACTCTACGGCTGATTCGATTGACCGCTCCCCGGCTTGTGGAACTGCTTGACGCACAAGACTACTGTCTGATTTTGCTGCATCTCGTTTTTGACCTTGCGCACTCTGGTCTTCATCCTTCTAACTAGACGACGCCTGGGCTTATTATCAGAAACGCGGCTTACCCTCATAGTATTCTCGCCGTTATCTTTGCTGTTGTCACCATCATCTGGATTGTATTATTCTTATTACTGCTTTCGTCATTAAGGCGCACTAGAAGTATTACGTGCTTGGGTCCTCGCATCTGAACGGGGCAAGCCTCTCTAGCCCTGTGGTAGATGCATTATCTAACTCCTGGTCGCTGTTTACGGGGAGTAGACAGATATGAAAGGACCCCAGGCTGCCACAGTGTTGTTTCATCGTATGTGTGTGGCCATAACTGTCACCGTCTGCTCGAATGACCTCGTTATGCTTGGACACCTAGAATGTGTAGGACGTCCCTGGCTCTGCTTCAAAATTATAATGATCGCTCCAACGAAGAGGATCTCACGTTACATGGGATTTGTGTTGCTCAATCGTTATATGGTTTTTTCCCAGCAAATACTTAGTCAATAGTCTCTAATGAGTAGATGGGAAAGCCTGAGCATACTACTGGCGATCTTGTATAGTAGTGGGGGAGTCGCCTTGCAGCAAGGTGTTGGTCACAGACAACAGGAAGAGGTAATATGCGGTGGTGAAAGCGCCGTATTGTGGCTCTCAGCCGGATCACTCGATTGAAGCAGTGTCGCCTCTGGAAGAAGAAGTCCCGCCGAAGGCTCCCATCACCATGGATGCATACGTGAGCGTCTTACCTCTTTTATAGTAGTGATGGTGATTCTGCAGTGGGACGGGGATGACCCGAATTTGAACATGTTGAACCAAGTCGACTGGGCTGGGCTCCAGTCCAAACCGCCTCCCTCTAGCTATGACAATTACCGTACGGCTGCTAAAATCAAATTTATGATGCCGGACCTGACGTGGAATCCAGAGTAGACTGAACGAGTGCAAGTCGGCGATAGTTTGATGGTCTTTTGATAGATTCCCAGTGACTATCCCGGATGAGGTCCTGTCGGCGAAGCTGCCTGTAGGAGCTCTTTCGCGATTTATGTTGCAAGATCCAGGTCCGAAGTAATGCGGTCGATTGATGATAGTTTGGGGTGTATGGCGTAGTTGGCAGGTTCGAGGCAATGGTGCAGGATCTGCACACACCTGATTACATGCTCGACGTTAATAATAAGGTGAAGTGGCGGAGGAGTGGTATGAGTAAGTATTCCACATCATTTTAGGCTGACGGGTCTTCGAGATTGGTCAAACGGGTGTCCGAAACACAGCTGCAAACAGACTCTGGCGTGGACCTCAGCGCTATCGTCCCTCACCTGGTGGATTCCGTCTTCTTACTGGTACGGAAAATTGTGCTATTGCTTTCAGTCGGATATTCCCACGGCGCCTCCGCCGATCGATCCGGACCTGCAGTATGTCCCTCGAGGAGCTTCAGAGGCCGTTCGAAAGCATGTGGGTGGTGGAGCGGGAAAGTGAAGATCACTTTTTCATTTCAGCCTGTCAAGATTGCTGTGAATGTGGACGACAACGGGCGTGAACTTTGGCAGACCGTAAGTGACTGAGGCGATTCTCGACGGATCGAGAGTCGGTTTGTGGCGGAATAGGTTGAACGTCACGTCTTCGGTGATGATGCAGAGCGTGCTGTACCTCGGAAGATTCCTAATAAGATCGAGGAGCTCAAGGAGACTGTGAAGTAGATAATCCCTCGATTGCTCAATCATATTAGAGCGTATCAGCAATTCTATAGTCTTCTGAACACACATACAGTAACAACAGGAATATGGGATAGTCCAGGCTTTCCATGACGAAACTGAACAATCATCACCATATTATCGATCAGCCTGGAATACTTCTCGAAATATCTATCAAGTTATTGCTGTATCTCAGGAAATCAGCTTTCCTTCAACGGACTAAAGGAGGAGGGAAGGGCAAAGTGAGTGAGCGAGGTGGGTACTTCCGAGGTATCGTAATTTCAGAGCGCTCCTAAGGAGAAAAAGTGCGACCCGAACAGCTACGACCCCAGCAAGAAGTTCGAACCATGCAAGCACATAGAGTATCGAGCAGCGTCGAGACCGGAGCATGATGATGAAAGTGAAGGGAAGGAAATATGATGAAGAGATGCATGCTTACCACCGATGTGATTAAGTCGCAAGTGCTGTTGATGCAACAGTGTTGACTTCTGTATGTCATGAATCATGAGCTAGCTTCGTAAACTCGTCAAGCTGCTTGCTTGAAAGGTGAATCCTCCACGGCTTGAAAAAGACAAGTCATCTGATCGTTTAAAGAATAATGCACACCCCCTACACAGAATAGTTGCTATGTACACGCAGTATGTCTGTGAATGCCTAACGGCGGCGATTTCTGTATACACTCAACGAGATAGTCAGGGGCACTCAAATGCCATGTCACAAGTTTATTTGACACATCAGTCTCCATCTCTCCTACTATGAAAAGCAGGAAGTGCTGGATGGGCTTCTGCCCCATTCTGACTGTCTGCACTGGAAAAGCACCCATGAAGTGTAAAAGTTTTATGTATTATACCAATAATGAATAAATTCGAAAGCGGTAGTATTCCCCAAAATACTACAGTATAGGTTCTTAATAAAGACGTAGACTGCATAGTATTGGTGATATTACCACTAATAGTAACCGTACAGTACAACTGAATGTGTTCAGCCACAATTTGGGAAGGAGACTTTGTCTCTTTCGACACATCTATGGGTCTATTCCGAGAAGAAAATAAGTAGCGTGCGATCGGGGTAATGTCAAGTGACGACGGTTGGAGTGAAAGCTCTGTCTGAGTGAAGCATTCTCGATCGTTCCTGTATTCTATCACTACGCTACAATCATCATAACCATAGCACAGCACAAGTCGATGTTGTATGGGGCTGAGGGACTTTCCACCAAGGAGACGCGACTGTGTCATCCCGAGATTCGAGCGATTTACTGAATTAGTTTCAGGTGCGATTCGTAGCACGAACGTACTGTCAAGTTTAATCTCACGTAGTATGCAGTGCATA